TTTCACAGCTCCGTATGTGGTTCTTGCATTTTGTATTTTTGTAGGAATCAAGTGCATGGAATGACTCTGATACAGCTCTTCTCGTGGAAAAAGAGGTTTGAGTAAATGAGAAATGACTAATCAAATATTAATTTGGGCCTTGAAGATCCAGCAACCTTTAAATAAAGCCCATATCTTCAAACTGGTTTGGTCCGCCTACCAGTCCTTTTTTTTTGTGCTGAGTAGTTAATCATCATATTTCAGCCTTCTTTTTTTAAGTTTTTTTTAATGGAAAAAATTGTATAATTACAAATGTTTCAAACTACACTGTCAAAAATGAGAAACTTATGAAAAAGTTTCAAAAATTAGGTGACCACTTGATAACAGGTCAATGTATCACTACTACACACTTATGATCACAATCACAAAGCACACAAGTCCATAGTTATAAAGGTAGAAACTGTGAGTCAAAATTATAAATTTTGTCGCAATTACACATTTTTTAGGTCGCATTATTCATGATTCGCGTATTACCCATTTTATCAAACCACGTATTATTTATTGATCACAAATTACCCATTTTATTACTCACAATTATCCAAATAATTGATCACAAACGCTTCATCCCACCCCACTGGCACCTCCCAAACATCACACCACCATTTTACAAACTGCAAACAATCACCATCATTTGCGAATCACTAACCACCAACAACAAAAACCAAACCACCATGTGCAAACCACCAACGCATATACCCAAAAACTCTAGTTAAACAGCGATTAGGTAGATTAGAGGAGGATGAGCCTCCTGTATAGCGAGGACAAACATGGGGTTGCTTCGTGCAGTGGTGAGCACAATGCAATTCTTTTAAATTGTGGAACTGTAGCTTACCAACGGTAGAGGGTCTAATTCTAACTGAGACTCCATTTTTTGAATGAAAATTTGGTGGTGGGCTGTAGCGATAAGAAGTAAAGAAAGGTAAGGTTGATGCATGGGGTCGGTTGGATAAATAGAGTATACCTGATTTTTGAAAGAATAAAGCTAAAATCTAATATTTGAAATAATAAGCTAAAAAGTAGGGGTAGGTGTAATTATCTTGATTTGGTTATTGAACCCAATAAAGACGGATAGATTTGGCCTATATTTGACTCTTGTTAACATTTCAAGTAACCAATAAATATTATTTACTTACCAATCATTCATTTTCATATATTTATATTTTAAACTTTTATTAACGCTTTTCAAACATGTTCTCAAACTGATTAACAAATATAAATGCAAATTGTTACTAATACTGGCAAATCGAGAATGTTGGTACTAGGGTATGTTTTGTATGTTAAATTTAAATGCATGATATATTATTAAGTATGAAAAGTGGCATACTTATTCACCATTGTTTTAACATACATGTTGGGTGTATTTCACAGAACCCTTACCAACACTCACAAATAATGGGTCCCACACGGGACTCATTTGTACTAAAAAAATAAAAATAAAAAAATCCCACCCCCTCCCCGTATATGTGAGTGATCAGTACGAGTTCTGTGAACCCGTACCTGTACATGTATCATCACTTATATTTTAAATTCTTTGCAGATTTGCATACCAAAGTTGACATCATCCTTTGTGCTCTATTCCCAATATCACGAGCAATTCTTTATCCCTCATCAAAAAGTGCCTATAAAGAAATTAAAATCTTATTTCTTTTAGTTACGCTCAATAATGAGAATTGAACAATATAATAACATTGATAGAAATACATATATTTTTAGAGAAAAAAAAAACCTGGTACATTTCGTGTTCATTCTTTTTAATATTGCATCTGGAAGATACATGTAACAATTCAAAGTAGCCGAGGATTTATTTTAATTAATTTGGCATATTGGATCCCATATTTCGCTATTAAATGCAATGTGGCTCGAACCAAATTTGGCGCCGACAGAATCTACAACAATTATCATTATTATATTTATCCAAACCGTGTTTGGTGTATTTACAAGAAATGTATTCACTAAAAAAATAAAAATAAAAAAATCCCCAAAATTATTTATTTCTTCAAATCAATCAAAGATTCAAATGAAAATTTCAAGGATTTTTGTCAAAATTTTTTAGCTTTCTCTTTCAGTAAGAAAGAAAAAATACTTATTACTATTAAATATTATTTTTAAATTAAAAATTAACAAACAACTGAACATGATTTGCTAATCACAGTTAGAACAAATTAAAAACAAATTCTAGATACTCTCTTTGTTTCATGAAGATAGAATTTTTTTCTTTTTTGTCCTAAATTTTAGGACACTTTCCTAGTTAACAGTACCGTTGATATCTTATTTTTTTAATATGACTATATTTAATGTGTTTTGTTATGAGCGGTGGAGCCTTATTATGTTGAATGCGGGCATTTTTAGGCCCAATCCAATAATTTTTTTTTCTTTTTTCAAATATTAGCAATGGTCCATGATTCTGCTTAATTTTAAGCATAAATTGATTTGGGCTTTACTTTTACTTCTAGTTACTTGTTTTTGCTTTTAATTACTTAATAATAATGTTATTGTACAACGATATCAAAGTATGAAAACTTGCAAGGAACGCGTTTAATTATAAATCATGTCATTTTTAGTATTATGACAATTTTGTTTTATAGTTTTATCATTATTAAATTCATGACCAAAATTCAATGTTCGATGTGGGTTACATTATGTCAGCACTGAACGAATTTTCTGGCTCCGCCCCTGTTTGTTATCAATAAATATGAACAACCCTTATTTAAATCATTATTAATGTAAGAGTATATTAGAAAAATGTAAATAAATTTTATTTTTAAATATATTGATTACATTTTTTTAATATGTATGAAAATGAAAGCGTATATATCTTAACGGCTAGGCAAAATTTAAACTTGAGAGATCTTTTGCATACAAAAGTTACAATCTTCAACATTTCATCTATTCACTCTAAAATTTTTCAATTTCCTAATTTATAAATTCCAAAATCATGAACCAAACACACAACAAATAACTATTAGTATGACTCTTCAACAGATGACAAATCTTAAAGTCCCCACATTTATTATGGAGTTATCAGAAAATTGCAAGGGCATTGGCGTCCCATGTTCTGAATCTTTGCATAAGGATTAAATTTGCATTGATGCATTATCTCAATTTTGTATAAAAAAATATACATAAATTCACAAATTTGGATCCTATCTATACATAATTTCACATTTGTCAATAAAAACTAATTGAATATTCACGTGACAGATAGCAAAATCAGACATAAACTTTAACCATGTATCAAAATCATAAATGAACTCAACTTTATATCAAAATAATATGAATTAATAATTTGTATTTTATCTATACATGAATTAACTTCTATCAAAATTAATGAAATATTCCACGTGACAAACGAATTGCTTACATGGAAATGGAGAGGCATACACTTGACATTACCAATTACGTCATTTAAATTGCATTTTTTCAGGGAATATAAATCGCATTTAATTTCAAAAGAAGAAAGTGTGTTTCAAAGAGATTGATGGAATGTTTTCTTCTGTTGGTGTCCAATTTGAGGAGGCCACCTCAGATCACATGAGGGCCCACTTCAAATTAGTTAAATGAGTTAATCTGTCAAAAAGGTCAAAGAGGTCAATGCTTGAGGTCGAGCAATGGTGCCTTAACTTAATAGGTTGATAAGTATATTTTATACACTTATTCGGTACCTTAAATAACGATATTTGATGGTTCTTTTGATAAATTATATCATAAACTTTTGTCTTTTATGTTTAATAGGTGAAATTTTATGAAGGAAAATGAATTGAAGGAATGAAGCAAAAAAAAGGACGAAATGCAAAAGTTTGGGGACCAAGTTGTAACAATTTAATAGTTGATCCGGACCATGAATCGAAAATTGAAGAATTTAGAGATCAAATTTCACATTTTGGAAAGTGAAAAACTTGAATTGAACCAAAGAATACATGAGTTACAAAAATAAAAGGGTTTAAGGACTAAAATTTATTATAATGAAAAATTGAGGACTTGAGAGGGGTAATATTGCATTTACGACGTTGATTGAAGTCAAAGACGGTGGCTATAGAATTTTATTATAATTCACGTAGGAGGCTGTGAGTTTTTTGGAAAAAAATTAGAGTCCCTTTTAGAATTACTAGTGAAGGCACGTGCGTTGCACGTGTAGTGGGAGATGTAGGGTAAGTAATAGTGTCATAATTTGGTTAATCACGCAGTATTTGAATGATGAATGGAACTTGCTTTGAATGATGATTATATTGAATTATATTAAATATTTGTTTACATGTACTTACATTGAGGGTGATAATATTTAGCAGTTATAAGCCATTTTAATATGTACAATGAACAAAATGTAGTACGCAAGTAGATATCTCCAGTTTATGCAGCCTCAGATGTACACTTTTCCTTCATTTCCCTTTCTTGGTTCTGCCAAATGAAGGACGAAAAGCTACAGAATGGAGGAAGAATGAAAGAAAAGGTTCAACTAATGAAAACCAATTCGAAATAAAGACGTATATAAGGCAATGTTCGTTCTTGCCCCCAACCTCGTATCACATATGCTGAAACTTTTTGGTCACTTTTAACTAATTAGTACTAAGTACAAGAATTCTTAATCAGGTTGTTAAGACTTAATTGTGAATACTAATTCTATTCAACTTGGGGCAATCCATAATAAAGGTAGCGAAGAGAATTTATGTTTAAAGGAAAAACTAAATAGATTCTTAATACATTAAATGGCTACCTATATTTGGGCATGCAGCCAAAGTTGACTGCGTTAATAATATATACTCATTAGTTCTGAACAGAGTTTAAGAAAGTATCTGTAAAACATATCCTCAATGCCATATATTAAAATTTGTTCAAGTAAATTTAAAATTCAAAATGACATGTCCTTCATCATTCATCTGTTCTACAAAAAAGCTTCCATCACCACATAGTTTAGTGCTTAGAATAAATGTGATTAACACAATGAAGAAACCGTAATTAGTAACTATTCTTGAGATTTCACCCATGATTGCAAATCACATATTTGGAGGTTTCGAAATGACCAAGAATTGTATGTCTGAGAGTTTTAAGATGGAAGGATAACATCGAGAGACAATTTTTTGTATACTGAAAGATTACAGTAACATTAACATTGTCAAAAGAAATTATAATACGTTTTTATTAGTACATACCTTAAAATTCTGCATTTCATTAAGAGTCTTATTCCTTCAAGTTGCATTGATGTCCCACAAGTATATTTGGGAGTCATTTGAACCACTCAACAGATCACCTTGCTTGAATTCACTCCATGATAAAACATAGCCTTCTGTATAGTAACCTCTCAGCTATAAATGAGGATTGCAAGCACCACTTGAAGGAGGCTTAGACGAATGTTTGCTATAATCAGAAACGTATACTTCAATATTAACTGCATTGGTGGCAATAATCAAGCGAAAATGCATCCGACCCCCCACCCCCAAATAAAATATAATTATATAAATGTGTTTATGCTTTATACAGTAAGAAATACCTAAGGGAGTCCCACATATATAGGTTGAGCAGCAATGACAGAGCTGAAATGAGATCCCACAAATGATATCTCCGACATGATGAAAGATCTTTTTTAGAAGTAACTAATATGCTAAGACAACTTATTTTAATGCTTGTGAAATCTCTTCAATTATGAATCTTGAATAAAAAAGCAACAAGAGGAAAATGCAAATGTCATTGACAAAGAACTGATAAAGTAGCTGTTCCATAATATATATAAGCGGAGTCATCATTTTTTTTTTTATACATATCATACAAATAAATAACTATTTCTTTGAACAAGATTATAGTTTGTGAATAGAGAATATAGTAGGACAAATAGCAAAAGAATCTTGAAAATGAGGATAAAGTTGTACTAACCTTGGTTTATCAAAAGAGGTTTTTCTTGTTCTTTGTCGAGCAAACAACTTTTGTACGTACCAGCTACATCCTCATAACTAAAACAACCACAAGTAACCAAACAAACTTGAAGCTCCAAAAACCACCAAACGCGACACGTTTATAGTATACATGTACTTTAAAGAGATGCTCAATTTCCTCAAAACAAAAACAACGAAATGGTAAAAATGAGTTAGAGAATATAACCAAAAAAAAAAAAAAAAGAGAACTGGAAATATTCATGTCTAAATTCATTAATTGGTAAGGAAATATTATTAGAGGAATGTGTATCTGAAATCTAACAAATAAAATATCACAGATGAACAAATATGTGCATAAAAAATACCATGGTCAATAGAGTAGCAACAGTCAATCCAATATTAGTGCCTTCGAGTTTCTGTACAAGTACACGTGATTGAGATATTTATTTCAATAAAACATGTTATATGCATCCATCTAGCTGAAGTTAAGAATCACAAATGAAATAGATCATAGATTGATCAAGCAACAATAAAAATAAAAAATGACTCAAACTTCGCTTACGTAAAATTTCCATCCAGAAATGCAGACCTTGTAAGTACAGCGGAAAACAAAAAGAAACAAATAAATGTCAGCACTAATGTATTGTTTACAAAAAGAAACACAAAATGCCATATCTATTGGCAAGGTAGAACTTAATATAATTGGCCACTTTGTTAGATGTCCTCGACATTACTCGAGGCATTAAGTCTCAAATGAAGAATATGACTAAATTACGATAAGAGAGAGCTAGAAATATGAACATGGTTACATAAACGAAATGTCAAATTCGGTGGCTTAAAAACTGAAAAGGTTGATTTGTATCATATATTTACTGGATGGATTAAAGTATATTAATTTACCATCAATCTCATTGATCGTGAACCCTAACAACATAAGAAAAATGAATACATTAAGCTGAACGAAAGATGCACGTGTAATTATCAAAAATAAAATACATAAAATTGTAGAGCATAATCAAGGCAAGGCACAATTTGTTCTAGGAGTCTCAGATCCTAAATAGAGATTCTTACACTAAAAACGAAAATTTGCCCAAAAAATATATAATGAGGGGGAAAGAGAACAAACAAGTATCCTTGTTCTCGGAGCTGTCTAAAATAATTTTCAATTCCGTACACAACAATAAAGACATAAAGAATTTAAATTTGTACGAGAAATTCATGTATAAATGAGTCGAAAGAGTGAAAGCTCAACAGGGGTGAAGTCAAGAATATTGTCCATTGTGGATTAAAACATATTCATAATATATGAATTTAAAGGAGCATTTCTTTAAAATAAATAAATAAATAAATAAATAATAAAGGCAACTTTCTTTTGTGTCATGTTGAAATTTAGATAACTTTAAGGCACAATTACTATCATTTTGGTTGCAGCTGAATTTTATTACTCAGTGTATATTGAATTAAAGAAATGAATAATCACCTTAGGCTCCTTACAATCAACGCTGTGGCAGTGGCCTCTTCTAAAGTTTTTGCTGCAGCTTTGGAAGCAACTAATCTCATTTGCATTGCTTCCTGTAACATGAAAATATAACTAATCATATTCCAATTGCTATGGATTAGATTTAAATAAATGTATTTTCCATCTAACAATTTTCGCTTTTATGAGTTTATTGAACATAGTATAAAGCAGGCAAGACTTTAAGTTTCACCCTCGTCCGCTTATGAAAATTTTGCACGTATATGTTGATGAAATATAGATTCACATTGCCCGTGATGTGTGTTGAAGACCAAATTTAAATACATAAACGTTTTCCCGTCTTACGAGTAACAACTTAAAGTTTTAGATTAGCTTGTTGAACATAACTGTGAAGGATTTAAGGGAGTTAAATACAGCAATTGAAGTAAGCAGTGAACACAACAACTTCTTGTTATAGAGTTAATTAAGTTCAAAACAAAATACACCTTCCCAAGCAATGTGGGCCTGAAGAGAGTGTATCCAGTGGAATACATCCATCAGTCCATTTCTTTTCATGAATAGTGATTACAGGAGATGAATCATTTGGATTCTCACGCAGAGAAGGATTCTCAACCATGTTAGATTTTTTTATCTCACTAAGTGTGATAGGATTGTTGCTCATTTACATCACTTAACTGCTTAGATATAGTAGCGTGTAAAATTATAACATATAACTAATGGATGTCAAGGAAGATTATTGTTGATTAACATATACATCAACTAACATTCATACAGGTAAATTAGAGTGCTAGCACCTTTAACTCAGATCAAACCTATCATAAAGAATGATAAAATACGAAAACACGTGTTTTCTTTTGTCAAAAATCCCTTATGACATTTATTGACTTTCAAATAAATTTTATCTGCCAATACCATATTAGTCTTCCCTCCCTTTCAATGCCACATGTTGTGGCTGAGTTATGCATAAATTAGATCATATGATCCATCTATGAATTAAATAAAATCTCTCCTTTATCTGATTTGGTCCTCAAAACTTGTTTTCAAGTATTTTTACAGATAATCAAGTTATTCTCTTCAAATAAATTGTCTCTCAAAAAGTTTTAATAAAAAACAAAAATGTTACCTTCTTGAAGTGTGTCACAATCTTCTTCTGTAGTCACGTTTAATGCTTTGAGAAGAATTGATAAATTCTAAGATTTCTTTGAATAAATTATTTGGATATATTGGTTGAATACGTTCTTGTTTTTCTTAGCAGAAGCTTAGCCAAATAGAGTTTCTATCATTTCCTCATTGAACATGTTCATAAAAGTATTTACTTCCATATATCAATTAATTAACAAACAACGAGGGAAAACACTTACTGGAAGGACCTTGATTTGATTTGGCATCATAACGTAAGCATTTCCACATCTGATGATGATAATGTTTGGCATTGCTAAAATCTGCTCTAAAATCCTCAAGTTGACAAACTGCACTGGTATGCTCCAAAAAATCCCAAAAATGAACACATCAAGAAATAAACCAAAAAATTAAATCTTCCAAACATCATCATTCATTCATGAAAATATGCCTCATATCATCGCTTTTACTAATCTCCATGCACAAAAAAAAAAAAAAATCTAAAAAACGAACACGTCAAGAAATAAACCAAAAAAATTAGAATGATGGATTCACAGACTCAGTAATCAAGAAACAATTCCCTTTCTGCATCAGTAAAATAAAAATTGACAAATGAAGCCAAATAAAAAGATGGCCATTTCTTTTTTTTCTTTTTTTTTTTGTTATAACGAAGTTATGGGAAAAGGATAGAAGAATCTTTTTGAAATGTGTGTTATGTCATTATATAAAAAAAATTGTGATTTTTACAACCTCAATTGGTTAGTGAACAAAATATAACTCAATCCCTTTGATGATGATTTTTTTTTCATATTGTTGGAATGGGGGATATATACTTTACTTGCTACTATTTCAATTATGTGATGCGCATTTAGTATGGATCATATTCACATATACTCTTTGCTCTTTTACTTTAGTTGAATCCTCTAAGCTAGGAATTGGCATCCATGGCTCTATATGTGGAACTATATTCTCTTACATGATTTGATTCAACAATTTTATTATTTATTTATTTCTCAAAAAAATAAAAAAATTACAATCTCAAAATCAAACTTCTGAAACTTGAACGTAGCAATTGATTTTACATATCTCCTAGGAGAAATCAATTGACAAGTAATGATGCAACTACTTCATACAAAAGGATTGTCAGTTTAGTTTAATTGTTAAACTACAGTTTTCACTTGGACATAATAAATTGTAAAGAAGCATGCCAAAGTGTATATCGCAGAACACCGATCTACTAATTTTGAAAAGATCAAACCAGTGAATTTATCATTATAAAAAAAAGATTCATTCAACAAAAATTTCATATCAAATTGTCTTAGTTAACTCATAAATGCAACCTGAAGGCAAGCAATATGAAGAACTACATCCCGATGGAAGATAGCCCTTACTTTGAAACAGTAACGAATATGTAACTCTATTGAGCCAATGTTTTTTCTTTCAAGATACGCTTCAACTCTTCGCACTTCATCTCTATAATATGTATTTGCAAGTTCTGCACATGCAATTCCTAGCCTGAAACAGGGTAGCTACTTAGTATTCTTATGTATTAACTTAAAGAGAAGGACTTCACACTATAAAACATTAAAAACAATCAGGATTTTATTCCCATAACAGTATAAATAACAATTTATAGAGAGATTTAACAATATTTACTAAAGCAGGATAAAGGAAAACAAATTGATACCATTTTCCCATATAATCTAGGGTGTTCTACACCTGGAAATGCTACTTGAAAGTATCAACTCCACAGCCACTTGATCTTTCTGCTCATGAAACTGTATCAAGACAACATGAAATGATTAGAAAAAATCAAGTACAAGTTCAAAGAGACTATCCTAGATAAAAGTAAATAAATAAATAAATAGAGCTTTCATAATGTGATCTAAGCAATGAGTAAATTGTTTTCAATAAAGCGTGGGGATAACAAAATTAATTATCAAACAACATGTATAAAAGCAATTATTGCAATTAAAACACAAACTAAAAGAGTACAAGTATACAACCATCAGATATATGAACAGCTTCGATAGAAGCTACTTGCAATTTGCAAATGATGACTCATCAACTGTTAAAACCTTTCTCCGGTGGCTTTTTCTAAATTGCCTGAAGATCTTTCATGTCTCTCATCTCTCCTTGATTCAAGCCCTTCCCTATCTCCCAAATCAGCCAAAAAATATCCGATATACCGACAGCAACCTCCTCTAATCCTCGTGAAAGCATTAAAAGCGAAGATCGAACAAAATTTTAAACTTCTAAGCTAGATGAAGGTAAACGAAGAGGAACCCAGCTAAATTTTCATGTATAGACAGAAACGACAACAACATACCTTAAATAAAGCTGAAGAAAATAACAAAGACCAGCAGAAAACTTACTTCTTCACAGATTCAGGCGAATGGTGAATGGTTTGTCGGAACATATCGTTGAAGGCCACGGCAGTATGGTTGTTGCTAAAAGAACAGACGAAATGGGGCTAGGGTTTCCTTCTGTCGAGTGAAGATGAGGATGAAAATGAAAACCGAACTTTGAAGAAAGACATTTTCAGATTTTAGTCTAGAAAGAAGATAAAAACAAGGTAACAGACAGACTCTGATTCATTTCCAAGTTCCAACGACTCCCCACTAACTGAGCTGACCTAACATTTGGCTTGTGAGCCGACCCAAATGGCTTGTGAATAGTAACCTTTCTACTGCCTCTTTTATATGTAGTTAGAAAATAGAAATTTGTGGTTGCTTGGTTATATATATATATATGGAGAGAGGAGCAAATTTGATATATTTCATACAAAATTTGGTGGCTGCAATTCTTTCAGAGGCACGCAGCAGAGGAGAGAGGCAACCAATTATATATAATTTTCTTACAGAATTGAGTCTTAAGATATTCAGAGACGCGCACATATTTCAAAGCAGCTGGAGTCACTTTTCTTTGTTCAAATTCGGTGGCTGCTGAATTTTTATTTGGAGAGATACACGTACAAACAGGAAAGGAGGAAAAAAATTTCTGCTGCTGTTAAATAAAAGGGACAGAAAATGGAGAAAAGGGCATCAAATTGAGGCAGCACACACGAAACATTAAAATCATTCACGTTCCGTCAATTAATAGGGGTGATGAATTCATAATTTCTTGTTTTTCTTTTATTAATACACGTAGCTAAATTTAATTTTTGGACGAACAATGTAATCTATTTGAGACATTTATTTCTTTTAATTGAGATTTTTGTTCTTATATATTTTATGTATGGATTCTAATTGTATCTTTAATGCTTTGAATTTTTCTGACCAATTATTCAATAATTTTGTGAACAATAATTACGAAGAGATGCGGATTCTTATTTAGACCACATATTAAAATTTGGTAAATTAATATAACGTGTAGAGATACCTATATTAATTGCTTTGGTCCTATGGAAATTCTTAGAACTGTTATTTCGTTTAATTAAATTTAATTTGCACTGAGATATGGAATTGAACTAATTAAATACGTTCAATGAGAACTCGAGAGGGGTAAGTTGAATACAATAAAAGAATTCGACCGAACACTACTTTAGTTTTATGAATTTCGATATTAGAAATAAAGGTGACCAATATGTGAAGTTGTTACGGCCTAATCTCTATTTATTAATTGAATTCTCACTAATTTTCTGTTGCATTCACGAAATTTCTAGTTATTAGATTTAAAAATCACGTTTAATCATTTTTTATTTATTTATTTTCATTAAATAGAAGTTAGGAATAATAAATTGAGTACTAAAGTATAGTTCTCGTGGGAACTATAATCCAAATTCAAAAGATCCACTTTACTACTTGTTGCGATCCGTCCACTTGCGAGATAAAATCGAAAATAAGTTTTTGATGTCATTGTTGGGGACTATTATTTTTAGTCTTAATTTATTTATTTATTTTATTATTTTTATCTTATTTTTAATTGTTATTTGATTTGCTTATTTTCTTTTATATACAGAACATTGTATTCATTGTATGTTCCGTGCCCAAGGCAACGATTTTGAACTATTTGATTCGAAAATGGAACGTACCTTCAGACGAAGATGCAGAGAACACAAACAAAAACAGCAGCATCAAATGGTTGACAATCTAAACAATCATATCCTTATACAGGCAATTGGACAAATGGCTGCGAGAGCTCAACAGCAAGAGCAAATGGAAGTAAATGAAGGGGACTTGCCAGTTTCTATGTTTTTGACGCTTATAGCAGCTCTCGCGCGATCCAGCATAGTATATCCAGATTTTATGGTAAACAACTTTCAGATACGGGCTGATTAGATTAATTTGATGAGCAACTCTCTATAATTCTACGGGTTACCTCATGAGAATCCAAACAAATATATCTCAAGGTTTCTTAGGAATTACCAGAATTGTCATGCTTTTGGGGTTAATGAGGACGCAATCAAGTTGCGATTATTCTCATATACACTGAAAGATGCAGCATTAGAATGGCTGGATGCCGAACCGGATCGAAGTATTACCACATGGGAGGAACTGACCAGGAAATTCAGCAATAAGTTCTTTCCACTAGTTAAAGTAGCAAAAATCAGAATGAAAATTCAAACATTTCAACAAAAAGATGGGGAAAGCTATCACGAGACCTAGAACAGATTTAAGGAGTTGATGAGGAAGTGTCCAAATCATGGGATCACTATTGGAAATAAAGTGTAGTATTTCTACACATGACTTTCACTACTATTCAAATCTCAAGTGGATTCCTCTACAGGTGGATCAATCATAGGAAAATCAATGCAACAATGTATGAATCTGTTTGAGTTGATTGCTACTATTCACTCCATGTTTTCATCAGAAAGAGTGGTGACTCCAAAAGCAACGAGAATTTATGAATTAGACAGCACAGCATCTACCAACGCCCAAATAGCAGCATTGACAAAATAGGTAGAGTTATTGGTGAAGTCACAAACAAAAGGAGCACATATAGTGATAACTGGACCATCTTGCGAAAACTGCAGAGCAAATCACTTAACAGAAAATTGCACCTCTATGGGGTTTCCGGAAGAACAAGTCAACTTCATTCAAAATGGCTCTCGAAATTTTAATCCCCTTTCATAAACATATAACCCAGGATGGAGGCAATACCCAAACATCAGATGGTCGGATAATTAGCAAGGGAACAGTTCAAACAATAATTAGCCAGAGAAAAACCAAGTTTGAGGGAGATGTACAACCAATACATACAAAAGACAGACAAGGTGTTCCATCAGACTAACACTAACTTTCAGAATCAGCAAGCATCCATCAAGAAACTGGAAACTCAAATTGGATAGATAGCTTAACAGCTTGCATAACGTCCACAAGGGACATTGCCAGGCAACACAATGGTCAAACCAAAAGAGAAAGTATAAGATATTACAACTAGAAGTGGGGTGCAACTTCCAGAGATACATGTGAAGAGACCAGATAGAAAAGACAAAGAAGTAATGGGTGAAAAGGCTGGGACAGAAGCGGAGTCTGAACAACCAACTAACGAGGAGGATAAAAGGGAAGAAACACCCCTAGTGAGAACACCTAGCCCTGTGAAAGCTTATGTGCCACCAATTCCCTTCCCTCAAAAGTTATAGAGAAAGAAGTTGGACAAGCAGTTTGCCAAATTTGTGGAGATTTTCAAGAAACTACACATCAATATTCCGTTTGTAGATGCAATTGTCCAGATGCCTAGCTATGCTAAATTCTTGAAGGAGATCCTGTCTAACAAAAGGAAGCTGGAAGAACATGAGACAGTCTGCCTGAACGAGGAGTGCAATGCAATTCTATTGAAAAAGCTACCTCCTAAACTAAAAGACCCAGGGAGTTTCACGATACCTTGCACATTTGGTTCTAATTATTTTAAACATTCTTTATGTGATTTGGGTGCCAATGTTAACCTTTTGCCTCTCTTTGTTTATAGGTCTCTTGGATTAGGAGAAGCAAAGTTTACAACCATCTCTTTGCAACTAGCTGACAGATCGATCAAACGACCTAAGGGGATTATTGAAGATGTACTAGTCAAAGTTGATAAATTCATTTTTTCGGCTGATTTCATCATTTTGGACATGGAGGAGGATTAAAAAATCCCTCTAATCTTGGGAAGACCCTTTTTAGCTACCGAAAGAGCGCTGATTGATGTTTACGATGAAAAGATAATTCTTCAGGTAGACAATGAGCAAGTCATATTCAACATGCTCAAGACGATGAAACATCCACTAACTTCAGACACCTGTTGTCAAGTAGATGTTCTTGAAGAGTTGGTGGTAGATACATTTGAGACAGAGCATCAAACAGTTCTTTGTAAAGCAGAAATTGCACAATCAGGAGCAACAAGTGCAAAAAAAACTAAATGTGTTGTCAACCTGGCTAAGCAACAAATAAGAAGAAGACATTAGTAGTATGAATCTCTTGGTGACAACCCTTCACCCCCATTACCTTCAGTAGAAAAGGCACCCACTCTTGAACTAAAACCCTTGCCTTCACATCTTCGTTATGCATAATTGGGAGACTCCACAATACTTCCAGTAATCATCGCGAATGATATGACAAGGGAGGAAGAGAATAAATTGTTGGAGGTACTCAAGCAGCACAAAACGAAAATTGGATGGACAATAGCTGACATTAGAGAAATTAGTCCAACTCTTTGTATGCACGAGATTTTAATGGAGGGCGGGTCAAGGCCATCAGTGAAAGGACAACACAGATTAAATCCAACCTTGAAAGAAGTGGTGCAAAAAAAGTGCTGAAATTGTTGGATATAGGTATTATCTATCCCATCTCTGATAGTTCTTGGGTGAGTCCAATACATATGGCACCTAAAAAAGATGGAATTACTGTAGAGAAGAATGAGAACAACGAGCTGATACCAACACGGTTAGTGACAGGGTGGAGAGTATGTATAGATTACAGAAAGTTAAACAATGCCACTAGAAAGGACCATTTTTCATTGTCATTCATTAATCAGATGTTAAAGAGGTTAGCAGGTCATTTTCATTACTGCTTTCTAGACGAATATTCAGGGTACAATCAGATAGTTATTGTTTCAGAAGACCAAGAGAAAACAACATTCACATGCCCTTATGGAACTTTTGTGTTTAGAATGATGCCTTTCGATCTATGCAACGCACCTGCAACCTTTCAACGGTACATGATGGTCATATTCTCTAACATGGTGGAAAAATACATCAAGTTATTCATGGATGATTTCTCAGTGTTTGGGGATTCTTTTGATGATTGCTTGGAACGACTATCGCTTGTATTACAACGATGTGAAGAGAAGAATTTGGTGCTCAATTGGGAAAAGTGTCACTTTATAGTAAAGGAGGGGATAGTGCTAGGCCACAGGATTTCCTCAAAGGGCATTGAAGTTAACAAAGCCAAAATACAAGTGATTGAAAAATTGCAGCCTCCTAATTCAGTTAAGGGGATCAGAAGCTTTTTAAGACATGCAGGGTCTTATAGAAGGTTCATTCAAGATTTTTAAAAAATTTCAAAATCTCTGTGTAATCTACTGGAGAAGGATGTGCCATTTCACTTTTATGATGAATGCTTAAATATCTTTAATACTTTGAAAGACAAGTTAACTTCTGCACCTGTAATAGTAGCACCTAATTGGGATCTACCTTTCAAACTTATGTATGATGCTAGTGAGTTTGCAGTGGGAGCTGTGCTTGGCCAACGTAAAGGAAAAGTGTTATATGTAATCTACTATACAAGCAACACCTTGACAGAATCTCAGATCAACTATGCAACAACAGAAAAAGAGATGCTAGCAGTGGTCTTTGCCTTAGACAAATTTCGTTCCTATCTGATTGGTTCAAAGGTGATAGTCTACACTGACCATGCAGCATTGAAATATCTGTTTGAGAATTAGGATACTAAACCTAGGCTGATTCGATGGGTTCTATTATTGCAAGAGTTTGACATTGAAATTCGCGACAAAAAGAGTACAGAAAATCAGGTAGCAGATCATTTATCAAGGCTGGAGCAACTGTGTGATTTAGATGACGTGGATATTAATGAGGTCTTCCCAGATGAGCAATTATTGCAGATAGAAAAGGCTCCGTGGTATGTCGACATTGTTAATTACTTAGCTAGTGGCTATATGGATCCTGATCTCTCCTATCTGCAGAAGAAGAAGCTGCTTCATGAAGCGAAATTCTATTATTGGGATGATCCAAATTTATATAGGAGAGGGGCAGACCACATCATTAGGAGATGTGTGCCAGAGGATGAAATGAAACCTATCCTTTCACGGGTTCATGCTTCGGCTTATGGAGGACACTTTGGCCCCCACTAAAACAGCAGCAAAGGTGCTTCAATATGATTTCTTTTGGCCTACACTATTCAAGGACTGCCACAATTTCTATAGGTCATGTGATAAGTGTCAGAGAACAGGTAACATATCAACACGTCACGAGATGCCACTTAACCACATTTTGGAGGTGGAAATATTTGATGTCTGGGGGGTTAATTTTATAGATCTCTTTCCATCATCTTACAACAATCGGTACATCCTAGTGGTAGTGGACTATGTTCTAAATGGGTAGAAGCTAAAGCATTGCCTACAAATGACGCTAAGGTGGTGGTGGACTTCATAAAGAAACACATCTTTAACTGCTATGGATCACCTAGGGCCATAATAAGTGATGGTGGAACTCACTTCTGCAATCGATTATTCCAGGCAGTGCTGCATAAGTACGGGGTACAACATCGAATTGTCATTCTTTACCACCCTCAGACAAGTGGACAGGTGGAAACCTCGAACAAACAATTGAAAAATATTCTCGAGCTCACTGTGAATGCATCTCTCAAGGATTGGTCAAAGAAATTAGGTGATGCGTTATGGGCATATCCACTGCTTATAAGACACCTATTGGAATGTCTCCATATCGACTAGTCTTTGAAAAAGCATGCCACATACCAGTGGAGTTTGAACATAGAGCATACTGGGCATTGAAGCAGTTAAACATTGACCTGGAAAAGACTGGAGAAACAAGAGTACTATAGCTACATAAAATAGAAGAATTCAAAAGAGAAGCATATGAGAATGCAGCCATCTACAAGGAAAGGACGAAGCAGTTGCATGACAAGAACATCAGGCAAAGAATTTTTAGAGTGGGAGATCAAGTGCTTTTATACAATTTTAGACTTAAACTGTTTCTAGGAAAGTTGAATCTAGATGGTCCGGCCCTTTTACGGTCTCTCAGGTGTTTCCCTATGGCATAATTAAATTACACCATCCAACAAAATTAAACTTCAAAGTGAATAATAGTAGCACAAAGTCCAGCTAATGACTTAAAAGAAGTGCTTTTTGGGAGGCAACCGAATTTTCAAAACTTTTATTTTACTTTTTGTATCACATAGCATATAATTTTGTTTTGTTTACTAGGTTGCATTAGATTTAGGCACGTTTCAATTTTTAGGAGTCATCACTCATATCCCTTCCACCCTCAGGCCCTTGAATTTATTGTTGGTTATTTTGATTGTTTAAGTTAAGTAACCCTTATTCCCTATATTTAATTTGTCAAAATTGATTTTTTAGGAACATGACGTCGTGGAACACTCAAACAAACATAGATCCAAGGGAAAGCATGATGAAGAATATTATCCAGCCGTCTCACATGGTGCCTCACATATTCAACAGAAAAATTTGGGAAGTACCTTCATCTTTTTCTTCCCTACCCCCTTTATGTACTTATTTATGTTTTATGACATTGAGAACAATGTCAATTTTAAGTTTGAGGATGGAAAAAACTTTTAGTTTTTGTTTTTTTGTATGTTTTTGTGCGTTTGTTTTTAAAAAAAAAATCTTTTTGGTTCAGTTTTGTACTTGTGTGGGTTAGACAGTGTGGACAATGATGATTTAATGTGAGATTTTGTGTTGATTTATGTTGGATAGGATGTATGTTAGACTAATTGAAGCTCAACCTTGCAAAATTTGATATTACAAGCGCACTAGAATTGAGTTTGACATTGTGACTAAATGAGTTGTTTCTTGCTTTTGATAGGTTGATCTAGTGGGATATAGATGCTTTACCTGAGCCATATTGAATTATTTATCCTTCGACCAAATTTAGCACAGTTTGGGGATGACTTTATAGTTGTAGGAAGATGCGGATGTGAATGTGGATTCCATGTGTGAAAACTTATGTGTGGATTATCTTAGAGTGACATGATAAAACTCTGCGAAAGTCTTAAGTTAGAGGTCCGTTTGTTTGAATAAGTGTGTGATAAGGGGCATTGCACTAATCAAGGCATATATATTTGAAAATTTTAAACTTCTCTATGAAGCGTTTATGACTCAAATGATTAAGTTTGTAAGAGTATCTTAAAATTTGGTGCCCTAAAGTCATCTGACTTGGAAGCCATCGGTCTAAAACTCGTTACAAGGTTCATTTAGAAAGCAATCAGGCATGAAATTGCACTTGAAAAAAAAATTTGTTCTCTTCGAAAACTTTTTGACTGGGTCAGTAAGCCTGTAAGAGTATTTAAAAATATGGTGTCCTAAAATCATTTGGTTTGGAAACCACCGACCTAAAGCTTGTTACAGGGGTCATTTAGAAAGCTTAATGGAGAGAATATATAAAAAATATAATAATAATACTTGTGAAAAACAGAAAAAACAAGTGTATGAAAAGAGCAAAAGCATTAAAAACATTGGTTAGGTCCTAACACTTATTTGAGGGAATTTGACTTTTGATACAACATAATTAACTAATTGAGTTTTGGAGGTCGAAACAATCAAATAATTGAAGAATTCTTGTTCACTAAAGTGTTGACTTGCAACTAGTAACGTCCACCTAAACTCGAGAGAGTGAGAATAATAATGAAATATTCAGCTTTAGATTACACACTGGAAAAGAGTGAAAAAGAATAAGTTTAGGGGTGTGTGAATCTTAAGAGTGATGAAAATACATATATGACCATTAAGGGTTGGGAATTGAAACAACTTGTGCAGTCATGGTTGATTACTCGATTCTTCACACACACACGTTAATTTTTGTATTGGAAGAGTGGATATTAATTTGGTACTGTGACTTTGAAGCATGTTTATAGAGTAAACACTAATATCTTGAATCATGACGTAAAAAGCTAAACTGTCCAACCAAATATTTTTGTATGATTGTATGTCTATTACTATTTAGTTTATTGTTTTGTTTGAGGACAAACAAATGTTTAAATTTGGGGGTATTTGATAAGTGTATTTTATACACTTATTCGGTATCTCTAGCAATATTTGATGGTTCTTTTGATAAATTATACTATAAATTTTTGTCTTTTATGTTTAATAGGTGAAATTTTATGAAGGAAAATGAATTGAAGGAATGAAGCAAAAAAATGACGAAATGTAAAATTTGGGAATCAAGTTGTAACAATTCAATAGTTGATCTGG